CTGAATGTGTAGTTTGGCTCCGTCCTCTTTTTGTAACAGAAAACAAAGAGTCGGTGGTGCTGGGTAAATCTGTGAAGGAGGACAAAGAAGGGGACAGCCTGGAAGTCCTGCAGCAGTGTAAGACCCCCTCGCTGGGTAACAGTACAGAGCAGGGCTCCACACTCAGAGATCTCCTCACCAGCACAGCAGGGAAGCTGAAGCTGGGCTCCACTGACGCAGGAATCGCCTTTGCTCCTGTCTACTCTACTGCTTCACAGGTACACACAGTCATGCTGTGTTCAGTGTTTAAATATGATTCATACAGGTATAGCCACTTAAAATGGCCTAAACAGCAGATATGGCAATGTGTTGTGTCGCCACCAGGGGGAGCTGTGTGGAGGCACATTCATTTATGTAGCTTTTAAAGTGCACAGGCACTCTGTAACTATACCAGAATCATTGAGCCTAAATACTGATACAGACATCTGTGTGTAGCAGATCAAATACAGATTGTGCAAACTGAACAAGCAGGAGACAGGAAGTGATGCGTGCACTCTGATTATTGGTGACTTCTGATAATGAAAGCATAAAGTGATTATTTAACTGCACTGCTAATGTTCTCGCATAAAATGCAGAAACTAGATGTGAATTAATTCATTTCTGGATCCTGAATGCAGCAAGTTTTTTTCTGCACATCTCTGATTGCTGCAATAATTTTAAGGGCAATATTTTTCAGGGACAGATGAGAGAGCCCAGACTATCATTGGGTCAGTGACAAATATGCTCTCCATGCCTGGCTGTGGTTCTGAGCACACGTACACAGCCCTCTTTGCAGGAAGTATTTACAGAACAGTTATAAAAATCATTTCCCCAAACTTTATTTTTAAAATTAGGCCTGTTTAGATCCTCAGTCATCCAGGTCATGGTAGTCTGAGGAGCTTGGAGCGAAAAGTGACTGGACTGGAAGTTTCAGCCGAGAAGCTTCTTTAGTTCTAATCGGGTCTCTGGCAGCGGTTTCACCCCACACTTCTGCTGTCTTGGTTCGTTGGATGAGCCACATGATCAACAGTGGGTCAGCCACCCTCTAAAGAGAGGGCTCCCACTAGGACCTAAATACCCGGGAACTCTCCACCATTTGGTCTTAGAACTGAAGAAGCTTTCTGGATCAGAGACGAGACGCCTTCAAGAAACTTAAAGAAGTCAGTTCTCTTTTCAAGCTCCTTCTTTCAGGAACTGAGGGAATCAGAGAAAGACCAACCTTCAAACACAGTGACAATCTCTCGTCGCTTAGTCACAATATAGACAAGTGATGGGTGGCTCAAGACTTTTGCACAGTTTAAAGACATTTAAAGGATAAATTAAGTTGTAACCCAACAAAACAAATGCAGGACATGCTCACAATTCAAACAGGAGTCTGAACAAGTAACAAAGCAGCAAACAGTAGGATAACTGATCACCTCCACTTCTGTTTGTGGATGTAAGAGGATGTTTGTGTGCAATCATTTATTTTTTTATTTATTTCAATTTCTTTTAAGCTGCATCTATTTTTTTACATTTTTGCTCCAAGCAGCCAGACGTTTGTGTAATTGTCTAAACCCAAAATTGTCTCACTCCAACCAATCACAGCAGATGGCCCCGCCCCTCCCTGAGCCTGGTTCTGCCGGAGGTTTCTTCCTGTTAAAAGGGAGTTTTTCCTTCCCACTGTCACCAAAGTGCTTGTTCATAGGGGGTCATATGATTGTTGGGTTTTTCTCTGTATCTATGAAGCGCCTTGAGGCGACTTTTGTTGTGATTTGGCGCTATATAAATAAAATTGAATTGAATTGAATTAAATTAAAGCGGCCTCGAGCCATCGTTCTCCCGTCTTTCTGAAACTCTTTGGACATTGGCTGCTGTTTCAGTCCAGTCCTACCCGACCACTTTCCCATGTTGCAGCATAATGTAAAGAAAAGAAACAGAAACAGAAGCCACAGTCACAGTTTTTATTTCCTGTAATATGTGTGATCCTCTTTCCTTTTTCTGTAGACTGGGAAGGGTGGGCGGAGCATGCCCAATATCCTCGATGACATCATTGCTTCGGTTGTAGAGAATAAAATCCCCGCCAGCCGCCAGAACATCACCGCTAAGTTGTCAGCGAAGCAAGAGCCCATCACCCTAAGTATCAACAACAACGCCCCAGCTGAGGAAGCCAAAGCAGAGAAGAAAAAGGCAGCGCCTGTTACTGCAGCAGAAGCAGAGGACTCGAGCAGTCAGTATCCAGACATCCCTCACTGCTGGCTGAACAACAGACAGCTGCTGTGGCTCAGAGATCACCGCAACCAGAACAACTGGAAGCTCTTCAGAGAGTGTTGGAAGCTCGGACAGGTGCACATCCGTGTTACAGCAAGTTTAGCAGCGCTCCACTGAGCTTTATCACCCTGGTGTTGAGATGCATTTTGTGTCTTGTGTGTCTGTGTAGCCGGTGCTGGTGTCTGGGATCCATAAGCGACTGAATGCCAGTCTGTGGAAGGCCGACTCCTTCAACCAGGAGTTTGCAGACCATCAGGGAGACCTCCTGAACTGTAAAGACCAGGTGCTGTCCAACTCTGGGATCAAGGAGTTCTGGGATGGATTTGAAGACATCACCAGTAAGTTCTTCTGCATTTAGTCTTGTGAGCATTACTATGGTAAACCATCAGTGACCGAGCCTGACTGGATCCTTTGCTTTGTCCAGAGCGACCAAAGTCCAAAGATGGCGAGCCCATGGTTTACCGACTGATGGACTGGCCATCTGGAGAAGAGTTTATGGCCCTCATGCCTTCAAGGTACACAGCACCGGTGTTCAGACTGCTTTTAAAAGGTCTAAAGATGCGTAAATGACTCAGTAGTGACGATGAAGCCGTCTAAATACAAGTATTCATTGCAGATATGATGACTTGATGAAGAACCTGCCTCTGCCAGAGTACTCTGATCCAGAGGGGAACCTCAACCTGGCTTCTCACCTGCCTTCATTCTTTGTCAGGCCAGATCTGGGGCCAAGGCTCTGCTGTGCCTATGGTAAGAGGAGCCGTCAGTTTATGTCTAGCAGGTCCAGATTCTGCTCATCAGAGTCA